ATGTATGTATGTATGTATGTATGTATGTATGTATGTATGTATGTATGTATGTATGTATGTATGTATGTCACAATGAAAGCAGGATGTTTTTGTTTTGATACATTAGTGTAAAAGATTAAATCTGTGGTAAGTGAGTCACTGGTAGTTCTGGTTGTATCATGATCGTATGACCTGAACATTCGCACCAAAGTGAGACTCTGTATCAAAAAACTTTTCAAAGCAAAGTGGAGAAACTCTGTATGAAACGATGAACAACAGTCCTGAGCAGGTTTTATGTATTATTCTGTGGGAAAGAAGTGTTATAGTTTCCTAACCCTACCAAAGTCATTTAAAATGCTTTAACCTAACAACAAAACAGGTGAAGCCGTGAGGGAAAAACAATGAATTAAACATTAAAAACATGGCTGCCTTACAAACTTGTCAAAAAAATCTCCTCTGAAAACTGTCCCGGGTAAATAAAACCTTACGTTTAGGTTGAGTATTTCCACGTGCTGAATAAATTCTGACTGCTGGAATTTTTTAACTTTTAGTTTAAGTTGTGCTCGGATCAAATATCTTTCAAACAGTTTCACTGACAGGCTGAGACTGTGGTTTTGAAATCCAGTCATTTAAACAAAACAGATTTGACATTTCCATATCATATTTTCAACCAAAAGATAAACAATTACAAGAATAAAAAAAATCTGTGAAAACTTTAAAATTGTCTTGAAATAATTTGAAAAGTTCAGTTTCTTTTCTTTTCTGAACAAACCTGCAGTTTCTTTCAGCAGAAAGCAGCAGGTTGGTTGGAGTGGGCTGCAGATTTATTTGATCTTTTTCTACAAAGACATGAAAATATTCAAATRAAAACACAACATTGTTGTACATTCTGACATTAGATCATGTGATCGGACCTTCTTGCTCTCGTTTTATTGAAAAGTTTCCACCGGAGCATTGAGCTCGTTCTGCTCCCAACRCCCACAAACCAAGACATCACGGCGGACTTTTAAACCTCCAGCAGGTCTTGTAAAGTTAAACAGGATTTTCTTCCAGGCTGGAGAATTTCTCACAGGGTTTTACAAAGCGAGCTGGGATCTGTCACTGGTGGGAGTTTGGTGTCTGAACACACAGTCTTTATTGGACCTGTTCTGATTTGCTCTGGCTTTGCTTTGCAGCTTTTTTATGTGAATGTTGAGTCAGACTGTTTTGTTGAGTGTTGGGGCTCATTAAGTGTTTAATGGTGGCTCACAGCTCTACTTTAAACACACACGGGTATTCACACTGACACT